TTGACCAAAGAAATCAATGTCTCACGTACTAGCTTGAAATGCTCTAACAAGAACTGATGTCTTAGGAGGACAATTCTTTATCATTATATTTGATATATCTATGTCACGTTTGAAATATGATGATATTCGATTCTAATATAAAAATCTCCAAACGAAAATGTAGCAATTAATAACAATGGTCCCATTGAGGAGGCATATACTCTTGATGAGTATTTAAGTATAACAAATTATAGAACTCCAGAAGAGATTTAGGTACTTGATATGTTGAAAATTGAGATATCTCAATAAGTTATGTTGTTATTAGGAATCAAAAAGAAAAGTTGTCGACAAGACTTTTTCACATGATGTACTGGATCATATTATGAATAATGAGAAATTGAAATAAAATGACGCTATCATACGAAAATTAAATTTACTAGAGAAACTTGAAATTTTTGGATGCGATTCTAGTAAAATTGAACTTACCAGAGAAAATTGAAATTTCTGGATCTACAGTCTAAACACTTAAAGGTGTATACTTACATGAAATGAAAATGGAAAAAGTAAAATCGTAATATGAAATGTACGACTCTTTATATAATGAATTTTAGTGAATACTTGTATAAATAGATAAGTTATCATGTGATGAATGTAATAATAAGTCTCTATTGTATTGGCATGACAACAGATGAAATTTGATATGCATATAATAAATATGATTATAGTCAACTTATCTAATATAAATTTAATGCTATTCTTGAAGGATTTGATATGCTTGAAACATAATTCAAGTGATATTATCATGAGAGAAAGTAAATATGCGTTGTACTTTTTTTCCCTTGACCAAAGTTTTGTCCAATTGGGTTATCCTGTCAAAATTTTTAATGAAACAACTTTTGTGAAGCACTCAAATGAATAAATGTACTTTTTTTCCTTCATTAGAATATTTTCCACATGATTTTTCCTAATAAAATTTTAACGAGGCATACTCTTTGCAAAATGAATGTTTATAACATAAAATACATTTATCCTCAAAATAATGCTTTTAAATGTATGAGACTCATGAGTTCCGAAGAGATCAACAAGAACTATTTTTTGAATCATTATGTTACTATAGTCATCAAGTTTTGTCTCACTGATTTTTTTTTTAAGACATTAACATACAAAACATGGATGCTTGATTCAATAATACAAATCGGGGGGGTATTTGTATTCTTTTTTCTTCGATCAAGTTTTGTTCGATTGGATTTTTTTGACAATGTTTAAATGAATAGTATTTTATTACTCCAAATTATTTGTACTATTTTTCATTTGTTGCCATTTTTGTCCAATCAAATTTTTGCCAAATAATATTTCAATGAAATAGTTATTGTGTGAATAGTCATTTTAGGGGGAAGTGCTGTATAGTAGTATTTGTAAATGATTTTTATACCAATGCAGCCCTAGTCATTATGATTACTGTATCTTTTGTAGTTTTAATTTTTCTTAATGAATATATGGTTTTGGTTCTTAATAAAACATACAAGTTTATTAGCTTATTTCTTTTGTTCCCTCTTTTTCTCTCTAATTTATAACAGTAAATAAATTTAAAAGAATTAATTCAACATATGTTAAGTAAAATGTTAAATAATTCAATAAATAAGACATGATTTTTTATTTTCAATTAAGGTTTAGTTATTTATAATTGAAAATTTGTAATTTTTAATCTAAAATGCGTTTATTTGTTACCATATATATATAAATTATGGTATGCAAAATTGCAAATAGTAAATAAACCATAAATACAGGGTGCGTTATTTTAATTTGCCTAGATAAAATTAAGCAAACTCTCAAGTCTCAACACACAATATTTTATTCAAAGACAAATCTAATTAAGATGATAATAGTGTAACCCTGCTTATATGCAAACTGCGGAAGGTAAGAATAAATAGTTTAAAGGAATAATATCAACAAAGGAAATAAGAGAGAAATAAAGGAAGTAAGGCACAAACGGAACAATTTGAGGGATTCAGCCTTGAGATTAAGGAATCATTGAAGAAATTCATGTGATCACACAGTATGTAGATGCATATATCCATGCCTCGTTTAAGGTACAATTTCATGACTAAATCAGCTTCTGGCATTAGTACTCTCCAAAATGTAAGCATTGGAACCTATTGGATTTTCATTGTTGTAAATGTTCGACAGTTGATTTTTACCTGGTTCAAACACCTAGATTTAGATGGGCTTTTTGAATCGGGTGGTGCATAGTCTAAAGAGACGCCGATCACCAAGATAAGATGCCTCGTCCCCATCTTCCTTCACTTGTGTGTGCGTGATTGTAGGATTGATATTCAAATTTTGTACTTCTCTAGATAAGTTACTTTTGACAAATATGAATAAATTTGACACTTAAATTAGATTTTGTTTAACTAGCCAAAATTAAATTTTGAATGTGAGGAATTGGTTAGCGCTGAAAGTAAGAAAATATTATATTATTTATCCTATTAAATAAAAAGAAACCAACATCAAAACGAATACAAAGACACTTAGACTAGGAACTAGAAACTACATTGTTCAAGTGGCCTTGGAACAATCGGTTGGCTTGAAACTAACCTTGTTATTCACAAGGTCATATCCTACCAGATAATTCATTTGACTTAGGTTCCCATATATGGTCAAATCCTCGGAAGGCACCAACGTCAAGCAAACCATTCCTTCCCCAACTTCAAGAAATGTACTTGTTGGTGGCAACTCTACATCAGCACCAGTAAAATGAGCAACAATTGTTGGTGGATCGAATTTTTCCCCGGTGACGTGGTAGCACAAGTTTAACAACCCTTGTGGGTTCGTCACACGTTTCCCCTTGATAGCTTTTACAAGGGCTGCTTCCAATTGCTCGTAAATTTGTTGTGGGAGGAAAGTCAATGTTGTACCGGAATCAATAATGATGTTACCTTGATCATCGGAAGATGCGTCGACAGAGATCGAGTCGAAATTTTTTAGGGGTTTGTAGAAAAATTTAGTGGTTCCAACACTAACTCCCTCCAAATTTAGGTAGTAAAAAGTGTCTGAAGACTTCTTTATCAAGGGAGTGGACACAACATTTGGTCCTGAAACCAATGCATCGGAGCCAAAACTTATCTTGCTTGGAACATTGGGCTCATCAATTTGAGTCAAACAGTATGAGAATTTCCCACCAATAGAATTTTTCAATTGATTAACAATTGAAAGTGCTCCACCTCCGAGCCCTACTATCCCAGACCCCGGTTCCTTGAAAGTGCCACCATTTTCATGGCCACAGCCAAACACGGTCTTAGGAAAAGACACTGATTTCCCAGTACTAGATTGAAGACTCAAAGTATCTGCTGCTAAATCTCCATTACTGTAAGAACTGTCACCATAAGAAACTGAATATTGACAGACATTTTGACTGTCACAACTTGAACTTCCAACAGCAGCACATAGCTGAGATTGACAAGATACATCCCTGTATGACGTCGAGTTTTTGGGGTCAAAAAGTGGTGGAATTTGTTTGTAACAGTCTGTACAAGGCGCACATTGTGTCCAAAGTAGGTCACTGCCAGTGTCAGCAATGGCTAGGGTTTCGAAAGATGGTGTTCCAAGTGAGATTTTCATGAGGTATTCTCCAGAATTCAACTGGATTGGGGCTTCGATTGTTTTTGTTGAAATTGAGGTTGGATTGAAGGATGCTTTACGTGAATAAGAACGATGGAATGCACTTTTTAGACGGTCGAATAGTGTGTTATCGGGGTTGTAGAAAGGCGAAAGAGGAGAATCGCGATGAAGGAGATCGACTGTGATTCCATTACTGCTGGCATCAATAAGAGAAATCACAGAACAAGAAAAAAACAAAGTTAAAAGGAAGTTAGAGAATACCATGATTGAAAATTGAAACTCACAAAGAATTAGAAATTTTTTTATGAAAATATTGAACGGCTTAATGCAGGAATTTATAGGCTAAGATTACGTGTGAAAACATGGAAATCCAGAAGAATATTTTCTCGATTCATTAATCTGTGAGGAAGAAGAAAAGCCACTCATTATTTGTGCATGGAATCTTTACCATATTTAGAAAAACAAAAAAACAATTTATTGAATTTTTCTTGAAAAATCATGTAATTAATTTAGCCATGCAGTCTTGGATTTGATTATATTTTATTCGATTAAATGGGATGAATTTTGACAATTACTTCATTAGATTGATTCACACTGCATATATTTGTTCAATGTATTAATTCATAAGTGTATATATACATGTATTTGGCCAACTGGCTACATACATTTTATATAATGAACATAACGATCATTTTTGTAATTAATTACCATAATCTCGTTTTATATTTGTCAAAATTTTAGGCTTTTTAAATGGTATATTTGAAATTAGAATGATACATTTTCATTGAAAATGTGATTTACAAGTAATTGATCGTCAATGTATTCTGTACACTATGAAAAATAGTAGCATAAATGGAATTTTTAAAGTTTAAAACATTTGGGATTTTTGATTCGAACATATTTGATTATTAAAGAGCATCTCGAATGTTAATGTGGATTGCTTTAAAACATTATCGTATAAGCCAAAAAAAAAAAAAAAAACTATCAAAAAATCACCGTCAATTCAATTTGACTCGAACTATGTCAAGCTGATATGATTGAAAAATAGATATTTTCTAGAGCACTATTTGTGGACGCTCTGCTTGATTTGATAATTATTCAAGCTATCAAGGAAAAGAGAGAATTCCAATGGGAGAGCATCAAGGATTCTGTTCGTGTTTTCATAATATTTTCGTTCTCTCTCTCTCTCTTTTTCTCTTCATTTTATTTATTCTTAATTCAATGTTGAAAAGACACATAGATAAACTAGTCAACGTTGAACGTGTGTTGCAAGTTATTATGAAAAACTTTATAAGTGCCGTAAAAGTAATATTTGAATATGCGTGAAT